TGAGATGTATGGTCGTTCATACTGTCCGGTAATAACCCCCGGCATGGCTGCACTTTGCCTTAATCAAATTGATCAGCTGATGTTCAGTGTGATAATCAGTACAAAGTGTTGCCCTGAAAAAAAGTCACAATGAATATTGAAAGACAGCATCATGCTACGAGATATACTTTGATCTGAGTACAAATTTTTGCCTCATACGCTTTGTGAACAAACTTTGAGGGGAACGGCTTGATAATAGCTTCTTGTTAAAAAAAAACTGTCAACCAGAATGGTAGTGATTGTTCCAGCAATGCATGCGTCACACAACGTTGCTATGAAGCTCATATCAAGAATTTTGTAAATCTGGTTAAGTTTCGGTTCATTTGAAATTCTAAGCTATTTCTAAGTGTTGTATAATAGACGCATACTTCAGAACTATGCATATGTATTTGTTGTTCACTGTCAAAGCATTTTTTTTTGCATATTAAGCTCCTGACAGTCAAGTTACAACTTACATAAACTTACCGTAACATCTGAAACCTGAACGGTTATTTTCTGACGTATCAGGGAAGCCGCAAATGAGGGTCTCAACGAAGGTACATTTCTGCATTAACTTCTCAACAATATGTAGAACGTTAAGCTTATAAGGACAAAAAATTTGTTGTCCAACTTTGACATTTGGAAACATTAACAACGTTGGAAGTACTTCTATAAATTGAGCCTAAATTCAAAACATTTCGCTTCAGGACCTTCGACCCTTGCAGTGATACCTTAGCTTTAAATTGATGACTTCGACCTTGCGCTGATTGTTATTCAGCTATGAGATATGCGAATTATAACAGTAACTCACACTCATGGCCTGTGCCTCATCCGTTTTAGCGTGATCGCACTAGAACAATGTGATTTCAAATAAATTTCAAGGACTTGTTACCGCTTCAAGATTGGCTACATGGAGACCCATTTCGTGGTGTGTTCCCCTTTCTCTGAATGAATGAACGAACGCATCAATGAAAGAATGGATGCATGGATAAATGAATTTATGAATTAATGAACGCATAAGGAAGAAAACAACTGACTGCACCAATAAACGATTTGATTAAGGTATGATTTAGTGAATGTAAAATTGAATGAGTGAATGAATGAACGAAGGAATTGATGAATAAAATGCGCAGCTACTGAATCAACTAGAACTATTTATTTATTTTTCTTTCCCATGTTTATACTATATGCTGATTTATAGTTCATTGTCCAATGAATAAATCAGTCTATAAATGATTGACTGCCTGAGTAAAAGAATTATTGAAGATATGCACGAATTAATTGATGTATAAACGGACGAATGATACATGACTGAATCACTGAATGAATGATTAAATAGAAGAGAGAAGGATGGAGTGAGTTAGTAAATGAATATGTGAATAACATTTATTTATTTCTATTTACTGTCCATCTCCTATGTTGATTTTTAGCCATGTAACAGGTGAAAGAAAGAAGAAAAACGAATGCGTGAATGTTCGAATGAGTAAATAAAAACATGAACCAATGACTATCTGGTGCATGACCGAAGGAATGAACGAATTAATGAATGAATGAATGTACAAACAGATGTTCAAATAAGTTATTCATTTAGTGCAGACAACGGTCAAAAACACAGGAATGAGCCATAGCATAATAAAGACCATGCACTGTAACGGTTTGAACAAAACTTGCATCCCATGGCCTTTCAATTTGGTGACAAGAACGATTCTCTTCCCTCCCAATTTTTTGTTTCCTTCAAACATTCATGTCGTCTGGATCGTCCAGCTGCTTTTGTCTACAATACTCATCTCCTACTTCAATTTTAGACGGCAGATCAAAAGAAGCATGGTGGTCTGGTCCTATTTCCTTCATGGACTACGAGGATGGGCATCTACTATCCTGGGTTGATAGGCTGAAAGTATCTTCCATACACATATTTGCCCGATGTGCACAAAGGAGGTGCCAGTTACTCTTCAGTTACGACCACGAGTACTTATTATTTTCAAGTTTCGTGGTCTATCTTTATCACTAAAGAAAAGACACTCGTTGGTTTATTTTGCAAGTTGCAAACTTTTCCTGGCGAGAACTCTGAAATTGCATTTGCCAGTTGTTGTCTTCTTCTTCTTCTTTTTTTAGTTTGTGGTTTCCTGTTTGTTGTTGTTTCTGTTTCATCTTTTTTATTTTTGTTGAAACCAATGACGACGGCTTTGAAACAACACTGTCTTAATGAATGATCGTGTTTGTCATTACGCCGGGTTATTACACCGGGCACACAAACCTGAGCTAGTGGCTCAAGCAACATATGTGCTGAGGTCGTATTTGCGTACAACTACGAGTTTTTTCCTTTTTCCTGTTCCCCTCTCCTTCCTTCCTCGTTTCTTCTTCTACTTCGTGTTATTGTTCTGCCTCAATTTATTTTCTTGAGTAGACTCTCGTACATGGAAATATTTGTCCAATATTTATTACTACGAATAAAACATGCTTTACAAATAACACTTTCCATGACAGGAGTATGAAAGAAACTTTACTACTACTTGAATGGAGTCACAAAACAACTTCATTTTTCGACATGTAGAAAAGTGCACGATTCTTGCAGTTAATTCACAGTTAATGTTGCACGCAGCAAATTACTGGCAGTATTATTTTACATTTGGCGTATGATTATAAAGACTACGAGTCTTCGATATCGCGCAAAATTCCCGTTTCTGACACCTTCCTGAAAGTCTACGAGAAAATTTCCTTAGCGACCTCACTGATTATTATTCCGAAAGCTTCATGGGAATAATGCAACCTCCTAATCCTCTGCTGATGAACAGAGGCTACGGTATTGCACATTTCACGGCAGAGAAAAACGCTATAAATTCAGCAAAATGTAAGAAAAGAACGATAAATTGTAAGTATGCAAAAATTTACAAGTTCTTTAAGTTGAACTGTTAGATTGGGGCGTCCAAGGTGTAAAATACATGAGCGCGATTACCAGCAAAGAGAGAGGAAACAGAGAACCGACTGCTCTATTCATTTATTAGTCAATTAATGCCATAATAATAATGAACTTTTGATCCATGTTTGGCCATAGTTTAACATGTTACTCTTAGACAATCGCAACTTACCGTTGTTTCTGGTGGTTAGCAAACAGCTATTATTTACACTGGCTTTAAAAACTCGATCATATTCAATGTCTGAACACCAGAGTTGGAACAAATAGCGAAACCATTATGTAGATTTTTCTAGGTCATAAATTTTATAGTAATATCGCGCTGACTTTTACTATAAGTAATTTTGTACTGATTTTTAAATTATTGTTTATTCATTTCACAACCGATAGTTCTGCAGTCAAAGGGGAAGCAAAAGTGTCCTTACGTCTATTGAGGATACCAGGAACCAGAGGGTATGCACAGACATTTGTTTCTCCTGACCTTTCTTTTTTCACCTTTGTGATGAGGGTTTCAGTGATCATCGAGCAACTCTGTGTTCTGTATGCACCTCGACTATTAAGTCGGATGTATTTCATTAACGGTCCGAATAAGGGAGGCTGTGCTCTGGTTGCATAGCACTCATGTTGATGCATATATTAATCAGCTCAAAGTTATTATAAATGCCATCAGGCGCTTTCAGTTCAATCTATAACGTGCACTTGAGAGAGTCCTATTTTCGTTACTGTACTACAAACGGATTTCGTTGCATTCTTTATAGTCCCAAACTGACCCTAGCTGGCATTACGTTTTGAATATAATCTTATACGTCTAGCCTGTCTGTTATTCTCACAGATTGCAGCATCTAGGAAAAAGGTTTTCGCCTAATATGCTAATCATGTTAATGCAACGCCTCGCAAAAAAAATACCTCCACCTCGAAGATATCACTCGTTCGTTGTAACTGCTACCAAAAAAAGAGACCTATGCAAAATATGCACAATTCGACATTCTGCTTATCTGACGCAGAGGAATTTGCACAATTCTGTCTCTCACCGAACATAAATGGAAGCTTATGTTCATTGGTATGCTGGTCATGCAGACAGTCTGACTATAGACAATCATTGTGGCAAGTTTCGGTAACGAGGGCGACTTTTTTGTATGATTCCACTATTCGAGAACGCTTTAGTTTTCCTTTCAAGTAATGCCTGCGGCTGTCATACAGTCTCTTGTTTTCTACCTACATTACAGTACTCTAAAACGTAGAAAAGCGTATTTTTTTCTATTTCTTATGTAGTAATTTGCATACGCTTTCCTTTCACAAGTGCAGCCATTGCCCCGTTTCATTCTACCTTTGATGAGTCGGTTATGATTTATGCTGTGCTACATTGTCGTATTTGTAAAAATCGTCACCTTGAATCGCTTGCAGAAGTAGAACATCTGTAGTTTGCTGTCTGTTGTATTCATCGCTCTCTTTACTTTTGCCATGAAGCATTGAATATCTGAATTGTACATTAAAACATCCCTCGCCGAACGCAGATCTCCCTCTACTTCGTTCATCTATGTTGCATGCCATCTTTCTGTGATGTCTGCGGTTTATTTGGGATTCCACACGATAAGTTATGGGCTGCAATAACAATGGTGGATGATTCGATACCATGGCGTTCGCTTCCTAGGATCAAGCCATAAGCACTCGCACTTCACTCATGCTTCGATGAGTACAAACAAGTAGGTTGAAACACAATTAAATCCCAGCCTACTAATGTCATGTGCCCTGATTGAGGTAGTCAATTTCGATTAATAACAACCCCGATGCTGCAACCCCCTGAATAGCATATGTTCAAACGGCAGCGGATGTAAAGTGATGGCGACAGCACTAAGTCATTCGAAAAACAAGCTTGGAAAGATTTATGCGAAAACCTTTTGCGAACCAACAAGACAACCGGTATAAACTAACAGTACAGACTAAGCTTTCCCTCAGAGGAAGCTCTCCAAGCACAGGTACGAGAAGACACGTCATGAACAACAGTAAAATGGACGGTAAAATCAGCAACTACCACAACGTAAGCACGAAACAAACAAAGTAGACCGTTCTACTCGGTCTGGGCTGATCTCAGCACCTCGGCTTTCTTCGCTTCAGGCAGTTCGATGAACCACCTGTCCCCACACCAGCTACCCCACACGAGGGGGTTGCAACGCTTGCCGCGTACTTCGTGATCGTCCTTGCTCGAGTGACATATCCGCAGACAGAAGATGTAGTTCGGGTCCCACTGTGAGCAGCTACTGCAGTCGGGCGGTCGGCAGTGTTTCAGGCACGATCTGTTTTCGAACGGACATTCGAGGCAATCCGTACCGGATGCTCCAAAGAAATTTCCTAAAATCGTACTCGTCGAGTCCACTTCTCCATGCTGACAGTTCGTCGTCTACCTTCGTCATGGTACGGTGGATTCTGCGGTAGGTAGGGAATCTCGGCCGAATGAAACGGATGATGCTTGTTTCGGTATTCTTTCTCGAAGCCGTAGCCATGGAACGGATAGGCGTACGCTGAGTGGCACAGCAGCAGCAGACACGAAACAGAAACGAGCTGAAACTTGGCACGGAGCAACATATTCATAAATCATAGTTAGTGCAGAAACTTACCAACTGTTTCATCATTCTCCA